GGGAGGGGGGTGCTGGCCAGCTGGGGCAAGGGCACCACCTCGGTGCGACCCCAGGTGGGCAATGAGGGGCAGGGGAGCGCTCGGCTGGGCTTTGATGGTGTGGGCTCTGTCCATCTGCCTGCTCACTGTGGGTCCTGGGGTACCACATCCCCGCGTCAGGCATCCGGGGTGGCCCGGGGAATGCCGCAGGGCGCCCTGTCCCGCTGTGCCCTGGGCCGGCAGCTCTGGCGGCACCCGCTCCCCGTTTTTGGGCATCTGCCCTCCAATAGCCGCAGGCCCCAAGGAAGGAGGGAGCAGGCAGTTTGCCTGCCTAGGGCTGTGGTTGTCCTTCCTTCCCTCCCCGCCTCCCCTCCTCTTCCTGTGCCGGGGAGGCTGCTTCTCTCCTCCCCAGGCAGCGGTGGCAGGGTCACATCTGATAGCATCTGCCCTTTCCCAACTGCTGGCCTGGCCCCAGGGCAGCAGACGCACGGGAGGTGGGAGAAAAGCTGCGCACCCCTTGTAACCCCCCCACCCCTTCTCGCTGCCCCCCGGGCTGGGAGCCCCATGTCCTGCCCGTGCCATGGGGCAGCCGTCCTGGTCGCAGCTAACGCCAGAGTGGTGTTTGCTGGCAGCCCGTCTCCCTTCCTCCTGGGTTCGAACTGGGCTTGCCCTGGTGCTGCCGCCTGCCTGGGTACTGCTCCCCTGGGCTGGCAGATGCGGGGTGCCCCCTCTCACCCCTCTTCTCTCCACCCCCGCAGGGCCCGGCTGTGTCGGATGGAGGTAAGGCTGCTCTTTGCTCTGGGACTAGAGGCCAGCATCATCTTCAGGGGAGGGGGAAGCCCACAGCCAGCCTGGTGCCGGGGCAAGGACCCAGCAGAGAGCCTGTGTCAGCACGGGCTGTGCCGTGCGCCAGTGCATGGCCGGGCCCCCGCAGTGCCGGGACTCCCCGTATCCCCCCCATCCCTCCCGCATGGCCCCGTGTCGCCTGTCCCTCCCTTCTGGCTGCTCAGATGGCACCCGGGGGTGCTGGGGGCTGAGGGGCTTCCTGGGGCAAGCAGAACCTGGGTACCAGCCAGCCCAGGGTCCCCTGAGGGAGTCTGTCTGTCTGTCTGTCCGTCTGTCTCATTGTGCGTTGGATAGCTCAGATGGCCCATTCGCCCGTCTCGGCCCTGCCACAGGAGCCTTCCAGCACGGGGTGCCGGTGGCTGCTGCTCCCACCTGCGTGCACGGGGTGTGCACAGTTACCCCGTGCTTTGGCCAGGAGGAGAAGGGCGGGGAGCCCGGCAAAGCAGCAGCCTGCCGCCTCCTCTGTTCCCGCCGGCTTTGCCGGGAGAGCCCTGCTTGTGCACCCGTACCTTCTCTTGCAAATGACCCTCTGCTCCCAGTTGCTCAGCAGCCAAACCAGTCCAAAAGTTGGGGTTGCCACTGGGAACTTCCGTCTTTTTGACAGAGGGACTCCATTTGAATGCAAGGTCACCCTGGGTTTCCCCGAGGGAGGGTTTCCTTGGGGGTGGGAGCTGGGGATGACACTTTCTGTGCCCTCCTCTCGCTGGGTTTGTGCCTTGTCATGGCCAGAGGAGCAGAGGAGGTAAGGTCAGGCACCTCTACTCATCCTCCGAGCTTCCCTCCACGCTGTGTGCCCCCCGTGCCCCCTTCCACCCTGCTTTCCCTCACTGGCTGGGTGCCATCCCCACGTATCGGCTTTGTTCCCCTGGGAGATGCGTCACGGGTGGAATCACGGTGACACCCCGGGGAGGGAAGGACGGCCGGCGCTGGCAGGGAGGGCTGCCACGCTGCAAGGTGCCAGCTGTGGCATCACGGCGCTCGATCCGCTGAGAATGCCGCTGGGATGCTCCTCGCATTCCCTACCTGAGGGCTCGCCGGCTCCGATCGGTTTGGGGCGGATGAACTCGCTGCAGATATGGGGGGTGACTGGGGCGGTGACACTCGGTGACACCCAGGCAGCCAGAACTGACCCTTTTTCTTTCTCAGAGTTAAACGCCTCCAGGGCCCGTGGCAGCAACCACAGCGTGAACAGCCTGCCGGGACCGCCGGCCACCTGCGGATCCGCACAGGGGTCTGTGGTCAGCTGGGCCGAATCCTTCGAGACGCTGCTGCAGGACCGCGTGGCCGTCACCTACTTCACTGTGAGTGCCGCAGCCCAGACTTCGGTCCCCGCTCCCGTCCACCGTTGGCAACCGGCCGTCCCACAGCCACGGTGCCGGCCGGGCCAGCAGCTCTCTCTGCCCCGCAGGAGTTCCTCAAGAAGGAGTTCAGCGCCGAAAATGTCTACTTCTGGCAGGCATGCGAGCGCTTCCAGCAGATCCCAGCCAGCGACACGCAGCAGGTACCGGCCTCCGCGCCGCCACGGTGCGGCTGAGCCTGGGTCACGCAGCTGCCGGGAGGGCTCAGGTGGCTTTGTGGGGTGAGCCAGGGGCTCCCTGCAGGGTAGCAGTGAGGAGGGGGCTCCCGGTCCCGGCCTGATCCCCCCTCTCCCCTAGCTGGCCCAGGAGGCACGGCGAATCTATGATGAGTTCCTCTCCAGCCACTCGGTCAGCCCCGTGAACATCGACAAGCAGGCCTGGATCGGGGAGGACATGCTGGCCAACCCCTCCCCAGACATGTTTCGCATCCAGCAGCTCCAGGTACGAGCAGCAGCCGTGCTCCACCCCACCTGCAGGATGGGTGCTGCAGGACCACCCCGCGCATCACCCAGCATCACTTCTGTCACCGCGGGGCCGTGCCACAGAGCAGTGGCCAGACCGAGCTGTAGGTGGCCAGGGGTCTTAAGCGCACGCATCCTCCCTTTGCAGATCTTTAACCTGATGAAGTTTGACAGCTACACGCGCTTTGTGAAATCCCCGCTCTACCAGGCCTGCTTGCGGGCAGAGAGCCAGGGGCAGCCCCTGCCCGACCTGCGGCCCCACTCCCGCAGCAGCAGCCCCCCGCCTGACCTCAGCAAGGTGAGCGGGGCGGGGAGGGGGGACGGGGACCTGTCCCTTGGCCTGAGAAAACGGTGATGGGTCCCTTCCCTGCTGCTCACAGCAAACCCAGCCCCGGGCTGAGGACAGACAAGTGATTTTGGGGGACTGGGGAAAGGGAAGGGGCAGCCTTGGATGTCCTCACCCTGAGATGCTTCTCCATTCGCCCCAGAAGTCGAAGCTGAAGCTGGGCAAGTCCCTGCCGCTGGGCGTGGAGACGGCGGGCAGTGGTGCCAACCGCAGCCCCCGCAGGTCCTTCAGGAAGGGAGAGCGGCGGGAGCCCTCCTGGGCAGGTAGGTGCCGTGCCGAGCGGGGCAGAGGGGCCGCGCCGCCCCTGAAGGCTGCCCGCGGTCCCCACCACCGTCCCTCTGTCTGTCCTAGAGGGGGGAGAAGGCGGTCCTGCCGCTGGGCGTGGAGACGGCGGGCAGTGGTGCCAACCGCAGCCCCCGCAGGTCCTTCAGGAAGGGAGAGCGGCGGGAGCCCTCCTGGGCAGGTAGGTGCCGTGCCGAGCGGGGCAGAGGGGCCGCGCCGCCCCTGAAGGCTGCCCGCGGTCCCCACCACCGTCCCTCTGTCTGTCCTAGAGGGGGGAGAAGGCGGTGGGAGCGCCATGCTGTGGCGGGAGTCCCAGGGCTCGCTCAACTCCTCAGCCAGCCTGGACCTGGGCTTCCTGTCCTCGGCCCGCACGGCCAACAGCCCCTGGACGGAGGTG